CCAGCTGAGGCTCAGAAGGGGCTGGTGGAAAATTTTTTCCCAAACTGGTATTTCCTCTCTCTCTCCTCTCTGCCCCCCTTAACCATTCAGTCTATACAAGGGAGGAAGGGTTTCTGGCAAGGCAGAGTTGTGTTCTCTGTTTTAGAATTTAGCCGTTAGATTTTCTTCCCTCACTCTGTTTCCAATTTCAAAGAGTGCAGCCAAAGCTTGAAAGGAGCCACAGGATCAACATTTTGCACTGGGAACTGGATGGGATTCTTAGCCTGCACGAATATGATCTGGAATCTGGGTGCACTCAGAGCTGTCTGCCCCGTAGCCCTGAACCTGCCATGTCCTCTCACCTGATCCTGGGTCCAGGACAAGGGGCACAGCTATCCCAGGTGCTGGGAAAAGATGAGCCCTTGCTCTCAGGAGCCCTCAACCCTCCCTCAAATATCCCATCCTAACCCAGGGCCAGGGATGACAGTGAGGAGCCAAGACTGCAAGCTTTCAGGGGCAAGGGACCTGCCTGTGACCTTTGTCCATCCTCCCTGACGTAGCGCCTGGTCTACATCCAGTGGGGGAGGGTGTGGATTTGTCTCGAGCAGTGAGAGAAGCACTTGTTACTGGGAACAAATGGGTGGGGACAAACTCTTTGGGCGTCTTCACTTGCCCCTGGCAACCCCACATCCCCTCTGAGCAAATCCTTTCCCCACACTGTGCTTCCCCCTACTCCCTGCTGCACACATCATGCTGCTCGTGGGTCAGACATGGAGCTTGCTCTGAATTCCAGGAGGGCAGTAACTGGGTCTGGCTCACCTTGGCAGAGGGCAAACACACATCCCAGTTTGCCAGGCCTGGTGTAGTTTGCGTTCATTGTCCTGGTGGGATTATCAGTGGTGCTCCCTAGTAGTGCTCCCTTTCACTTTCAGAACTGTCCCAGTTTAGATGGTAAATTATAGGGTCACTCCATCATGGTAACATCCACAACCAGCCTATTAGACGGGGCTTGCTCCTTGTGAGTACTACAGGGTATTGGCCATGTCTGGCGGTCCTGGAGTCACACAGCATGGGTGTGGATCCCAGACCCAACCCCATCAGTCCCTGCCCCTTCTCCAGAGCCTCAGTTACCTCATCAATACCATGGGGATTACAGAGGTCTTTCTCTCTCAGATTCATTGGGAGGGTGAAATGAGGTAATACACTTAGCGCTGTGCCAGGCACTAGGTAATACTTGAAATGTTAACAGAGGAAGAAAAAAAAAGAGGGAGGAATGCAAAGATCTGAAGATTTCCATCTTCTGCTCTGGAGGATTGAAGAGAAGGACTGGGGAAATTTGGTGTGTTTTTACTCTTGCCCTGCTCACAGGAGTAAGCACCCCAGAAAGTGGGCATTTGAGGAATTAAAAACCTAGGAGCTGAGTTGTGGACTAGGTGAGCTGTGCTTTTCTTAAAAGTACCATTTTCTAGAGACGGAAGTTTCCAGAAGACCCAAAAGCTTAGAAAGGAGCCAGAGAGCCCTCTCAGAGTTCCTGCAGGGTAAAGGAGTATGCCTCCATCTTACCCAGACAGTCTAGAAGCTCCCAGAATGTGGTAACTAAGGGACAGCCATCTGGAGGCACACCAGACAGAGATCTCAATTTCCAGGACACTGGGATGACATCCAGGGAATACTGGCCCAGTTCAGGCCAGCTCAGGCCTAAGCCTGAAGACTCCATCTGCCTAGGGGGCACATTGTGGACAGGGCAGAGTCCTTGAATAAGGGGACAGCCACCAACACCCGGGAAAGGGAGATGAACCACACTTATTCTTGAAAACAGAGATAGTCTCTGTAACAGCCACACGCTCAGCATAGGAATGGAATCATTTTAGGAAAGCAGGGACAGTCCTCAGAGTTTTTGAGGACTACAAAAAGCACACTGAGAATAAAATGAACTGAAAATCTTAATTTCTTATGGGGAGAGAGGGCAGGAAGGAGAGAGAGAGAAGGGAGAACAAGGCACATTGGATATCCCTTGGCCATCCACAGACTGCAAACATCATGTAGGCAAGAACTGTGTATTTGCCAATGTGTACCCAAGAGCCTGGTGCAGTGCCTGGGAATTATCAGGTATAAATAAATACATGAATAAATTTAATAATGAGTCTTTTTCTAGTTTTGTCAGCATTTTCTTTTTCGTGGTTTTTGGCTGGGGCTGAACTCACCACCTCTGGCATATGGGGCCAGCACCTTACTCCTTTGAGCCACAGGCACCGGCAGTATTTTAACATAGAAGGGAAGCTCCAGGAAAACAGAGACTGAGTCTCTGATTACTGTCAGCCCTTGACTCCTGGGGGCAGCAAATAACTCCAGTGCTAATGTGGGAATGGCACCACCTCTGAAAGAGGATGGCAGCCTGTGGACCACGGTGTTCCCAGACAGGCCACTTCTGACTCAGCTTCCCTACCCAGCCACACACAGGCTTTTGGACCATTGATGTGCACGGTTGGTTGTGTTCCCTGTGGCTCCCTTTTGTGCTGGTTATGAAGTTATCAGCCCTGGCCCCACACCCACCAGCAGCCAGGGCTCTCTCCTCATGTTAGGGCCTGAGACCAGGCTCAGAGACCCAGCAGCAGCCTCTGGCAACCCTTCCTCTTAAGTCCTAATTTCAGCTCTGCAGACCTCCTGTCTGTGTTCCCAGGTCCTGATGATTCCTCTTTCTTCCCTTGGTTCTCTCACCTCTGGGGAAGGACTGGTAGTTAGCTAACACATTTTCCAAAATCCTCTCAGACTAGCCTCTCACCAAGACTCGCTCACAGGTCTTCCAATGTTCCACCAGTTGGTTTCACTTCTTCCCTAAAATTCCTTCCGATGCTCAGGACAACCCTGTCCCAGCTACTTCAACCCATTCTGAATTGAGCTTTCTTCCCTTTGGAGGGTGTCCCCCTGCTCCCTCCCCAGCCCCCTGGTGGCTTCTAATCCCAGCCCTCCCCAGCCCTTATCCTTTACCCCTCCCTCCTCTTTTCAGCTTCTTTAGTCATTTGGCTTCCACACCACTCTGCAAGGCTGCAGCAAAGTGCATTATTTTTTTATAGTTAGATAGTTACTCCTTGTCCCTTCCCAAAAGTAAATGTACAGAGGCCAGTTGGCATTTCCATGTACACCCCTGGGGTTCTCCGATCTCCTGTGACTCCTGCTTGATCATTACGGGATGTGCCCCGTGCTACTTTATACCATTCTTAGTCTCAATCACACTGAGGATTTTCCCAGCCTGTGTAGAATCTGGTCCAAGGTAGACTCTGTGTCTTATGCCACAGATCCCTAGTCTAACCCAGCCCCACGTCTGTTCATTGAAAGGACTCGGGGAATGTCTGCGGGGTTAATCATATATTGCCTCTCATTGAATCTAGGGTGCAATCAGCTGTATGATGCACTGTTATTTTTCTGCACCACTGAGAAAAAAAAAAATGTGCCCAGTTAAACTGTGACTTGGTTGTGAGCTGTATCCCAATTTCAGAAACATTAAAATGTGAAAAACAATGTGCCTTGTAGTTGCAAGGAAGTAAGGGGTACCGAGCTGGAGGCTACCCTGTGGGTGCTCACTCAGGGTGCATGCACCTGCTCTTCAGGGATTGGGGGTGCTCCCACCACCTGGTGTGGGTGCTCAAGAGGGTGGTGGGCAGGGCTGGCAGGTTTAAAACCTGAGGTAAGGGGAGGGATGGGCAGGCAATGGCTTTGTAGGCAGAGCAGGTGAAAGACTTTCCTGGCCGAGGACAGAGAAACACATCTTCCTGCAAAAGTCACCTGTCAGAGGCCCCCAGGCCACTCAGAGGGGCTGCAGGGCTGCCAGGCCCTGGCTTCTGGCTCTCCAACCCCCACCTGGCCCACCCCACACTTTCCTCCATTTACTGCTTCATACCTCACTTTTAAACCACAGACGGTAACTGTTACCTTTTGTCTTTTCCGCAGGGTCCAGTTCTTCCAGAGCAAAAGCTGTATCTGCCTCCCGAAGCCCATGCTGGGGGCCACAGGAGGCCCAGGAGACCCCACAGCACCAGGCTCAGGGGCAGCGATGCATATACAAACAATGCTGGGGGCCTCTGGCTCAGGCTGCTGTGTCCTTCCCCTGGTGATTAAAGGCTATTTTCCCCTTTCAAAACATAATCCCTTTTAATTACACATAAGCCCTTTGCCAAGGAAAGGAGGCAGAGGCTGTGGAGGCCCCTCCTTAGGAAGGAGAACCCTAAAGACAGAAGTGGCTGGGGCTGAGCAAATGGGGGGGGGGTGTTTTGTGGGAAACCAAGACCCTCAGGGTCCTCCTCCAACAGAGGGGTTCCTGGGGCTCCTGAGATATCCAGCACCTTTGGACATCTCTGACCCACTGTTAAGCTTGGGGCAAAATCTGTTTACATGAATATAGACTGGGCTTTTGTCTTACACAGTAGCCCCCCATGAGCCAGCAGTCAACTCACCTGACAGATCTGAAGTGATCCCTCTTCCCTTTAGCCCTTCATCTTGCCCTAAAGCAGCTGTTCTCAACCTGTGGGTCACAACCCACAAGAACTGTATCAAAGGGCCTACATTAGGAAGGTTGAGAACCACTGCCCTAAAGCGACATTAGGCCAGCTATTTGCGGCTCTCTGAGCTTACTTTTATCACCTTGTCCTGGCTGCCTGGAGCTGTGTTCCGCCTCAAGGCTCAGTAGGACAGAGCTTGTGACTGGTGGCAATGTGTGGCCCAGGTGGGGGTGTGAGGAGAGGCAGCAGGAGAGCCAGTCACTGTCACCCCAGCTGGACAGACTCATGGTCAGGTGATGGACCTGTGACCCTGAGGGCCTCCCCTCACAGGAGCTTCCCTGGCTCTTTACCACAGAACTTTTGGTCTCTACTGCCTCACATGTCAGAAGCTGTTTCTCTTTGAAAAACAATCATTTTGTAGTTCTTTTTTTTTTTTTTTTTTTTTTTGGCTGGGGCTGGGTTTGAACCTGCCACCTCCAGTATATGGGGCTGGCACCCTACTCCTTTGAGCCACAGGCGCCACCCCTCGTTTTGTAGTTCTTACACACGATGTGTGGGTGTTGGTGAGCATGAGAAAGATGTGCCTCCCTCAAACCTTGCTGTGACATTAGCACATTACCCGTCTGACAGGAAAGAAAAAAAAAAAAGAAAGAAAGACTCTAGTTCCTGAGACCTCCATGGGGTGGAGGGAAGTGTCGAGTAGGAATGGATGCTGACTTTAGGGGGCGGGAGGGCTCTTGGGCCCATGGAGAACTCAGGGACTGTGTGACAGAAGCCATGAGGGCCCACAGGCTGTGCCTGGTGTGACTTCCAAGGAGACGGCGAGAGAGTTTCTGCTGGGGATGTCAAAAAGGTAGTGGCGATTGAGACAGGCACTGGTGAATCACAAAATAACACTTTCATTTGTGATTTATAAGCTGCTTTTGCATGTTATTTCATTTTCTGCTCACTACAATTTCTTTCTTTCTTTCTTTCTTTCTTTCTTTCTTTCTTTCTTTCTTTCTTTCTTTCTTTCTTTCTTTCTTTCAGATAGAGTCTCAGTCTGTCAACCTGTGTAGAGTGCCATGGTGTCATCATAGCTCACAGCAACCTCAAACTCTTGGGCTCAAGCGATTCTCTTGCCTCATCCTCCAGAGTAGCTGGGGCTACAGGTATGCGCCACAATGCCCAGCTAGTTTTTTCTGTTTTTAGTAGAGATGGGGGCTCGCTCTTGCTCAGGTTGGTCTTGAATTCATGAGCTCAAGTAATCCTCCTGCCTTAGCCCCCCAGAGTGCTAGGATTACAGGTGTGAGGCACTGTACTCCGCTACACTCACTACAATTTCTTTCTTTCTTTTGAGACAGAGTCTCACTATGTTGCCCTTAGTAGAGTGCTATGACATCACAGCTCACAGCAGCCTCAAACGCTTGGGCTTAAGCAATTCTCTTGCCTCAGTCTCCCAAGTAGCTGGGACTACAGGCACTGCCACAACGCCCAGCTATTTTTTTGTTGTTGCAGTTGTCATTGTTGTTTTAGCTTAACTAAGCCAGGTTCAAACTTGCCAGCCTCAGTGTATGTGGCCGGTGCCCTACCCACTGAGCTATGGGCACCACCACCCACTACAATTTCTGAGGTAGATACTTGCTCTATTTTACAGATAAGAAACCCTGAAGCCTGGTGAAATTAATACTTTGTTCAGGGTCACACATGACAATGCTAGTTTCTTGAGCAAGTCAGTCATTTGAACTCTGTGCAAAGATAGGGAGGCAGGAATAGCTTCTCCTGCCCAGAAAAATCACAAGTGGAGCCTGGCTGGGGTGAAGGGGATGGGTGGGGGGTGCTAAAGAGGAGGCTAGAAGGGGAAACAGAAGCCAGACTGAAAAATTGACAATGATGATTGATCCAATTGAGATTTACTGAGCACCCCTGAAGTGACCCGAGGGCCCCACAAGTGCAGGGCATCCCCAAACAGAAGCATACTCTGTGCAGAATCACCAAGACCATGCTGCATGCTACGGAGTATGGGTTCCATCATGGGGAGGTGATGAAAGATTTTAATGCAGTGGCTGCCGAGAGTAGTCAGCTCACACTGGCAGCAGTGTGGGGGAGGATTAGAGGAAAGCAGAGAGCACGCACGGGCGCTGGCAGTGACAGTCACGATGGGGAAGAGGAGGGACTGGAGAGATAGGAAGGAAAGGGACGCAGCAGGGCTGGGTGGCTTACTGGAAATGGGTGGTAACAGAGAAAAATCAGCTAGAATGACCGGGTTGCGGGTGCGAAGGGCCAATGGGGAGTAGAAGCAAATGGGGGAGAAGAGGAGTTTGCACTTGGTAGACTGAAGTTAAGTCCCTGTGATGACATCTGAGTGCAGACATTTACCAGGCACTGACACTGGGGTCTAGAGGCAAGAACAAGCTTCTGGGATGGAAACAGATTTGTGAATTATAAACACACAGGTGGAAGATGAAGCTCTGGGAGTGAGTAAGCAGATAGCCCTGGGCTTATCCAAGCTTAGAGCGCATGTGACGTGGCTCCAGAGGAACTCCAGCTGGTGAGGGGGCCGCCTCCTTCCAAGTTTCCAAAGGGAAGGGAAACGTGTAGTTATAGAGGTCCGTCATGTAGACAGTGTTCTGGAATAGTTTTT